TTTTTCCCTAATCGTAATCCTCCCCAACCAAGCCTTTCCCCCCCCAGGTAATGCCCTTCCCAGGTGTTCCCTCCCCCAGATGTTCCCTCCCCGGGTGTTCCCTCCCCGGGTGTTCCCTCCTCCAGATGTTCCCTCACCTGTCATGGTGTTCCCTCCCCCAGGTGTTCCCTTCCCAGGTGTTCCCTCCCCAGGTGTTCCCTCCCCCAGATGTTCCCTCCCCGGGTGTTCCCTCCTCCAGGTGTTCCCTCCTCCAGATGTTCCCTCCCCCAGATGTTCCCTCCCCCAGGTGTTCCCTTCCCAGGTGTTCCCTCCCCAGGTGTTCCCTCCCCCAGATGTTCCCTCCCCGGGTGTTCCCTCCCCGGGTGTTCCCTCCTCCAGATGTTCCCTCACCTGTCATGGTGTTCCCTCCCCCAGGTGTTCCCTTCCCAGGTGTTCCCTCCCCAGGTGTTCCCTCCTCCAGATGTTCCCTTCCCAGGTGTTCCCTCCCCCAGATGTCCCCTCACCTGTCATGGTGTTCCCTCCTTTGTACGGCAGACTGTTGACGGCGTTCAGCAGTGACTCTCGGGTCGGGTGTGCGTTCAGGTGCCACTCGGTTCTCGGGTCACCGCTGTACTGGGCCAGAGCTGCAGGACAAACAGAACCATCAGTTAACAACGACATCGTGACCCCTCACTGCTGACCCCTGAGCGTTTCTATGCAGACGACTTTCGGCTCTTTTAATCCCTTTTAGTCTGAAAAGCTGCTGAAATGTTGAAGCATCAAACTGAAACCGTAAAGCTTCAGCAGCAGCTACATTTCATTTCCTTTGGGATCAATAAAGTGTCTTTAACTGAACGACTGAACATCCTGATGATTGGTCGTCTGCTGACCCAACTGAGGGAACTCTGGGATTATACTGGGATTATACTTGGATTATTATGTTGCTCCGAAATGTTGCTAAGCTTCAAACGACGGCGTGAAAGCGAGGGACGGTTACCGATCTGGACGTTGTTGGGGCCGATGTCGAACACGCCGACCATGCGGGCGATGAAGTTGCGGATGGTTTTGAAGTTGATGCGTCCGATGCTCCAGGAGCCGTCCACCAGAAGGACGATGTCGGCCTTGGCCGACGTCCGGCACTGGCTGTCTGCAGAGACACGAGGCGGGCCGGCGTCACATGGGCCGACCAGAACCGGCCGGTCCAACTACCAAAACTGGAGCTCAGAGGATCTCAGCCGCCATGTTGGATCATTCTAAAGATTTTCATTCGTCTTTAATGAGACGTTTCCTCTCTGATCTGTTTAAATTATCTTCACTGCATGGTAGTGAGTGAATAATGCTGTGGGATTTTTGTAACCCTCTCCTGACTGATACATTTGTTCAATCAGATGTTTGGGAACTTCTTTTCAGTTTAGTTAGTGAAGCTAGAAATCTTGGGGGAAGCCTCTTCCTCTCATGCAAAGGCTGATTTTAGACATGATCTGACACCATCTAGTGGTTGGAGTGTGAACTACACATGTTTCTTGGAAACAATGGGCGGTAATCTCCATAAATAATCTATATATAACTGCCCAAATACAATATTTTCTTTACCGTGAAACGGGATAAAAGTGTCTAGGACAGATTTCAGTAAGCTGTATCTGAAACACTGCAGGACAAATATCAAAACAATATAAAACAATATATGTTCATATTCAGTTTGAGCTCCTGGGAGCGTGAAGCGAAGGGATTCAACTGAAACACTGTAGTGACGCTAAATCAATAGATATTTAAATACATATTTTAACTCAATGCGAAGGTTTTGGTTAAACATCAGTAAAATAATCTGAAACGTTTATTTAATTCCTTAAGTGCCTGCTGTCGCTAATTAGCATCATAGCTAAGTTGACACTAGTTACAGAAAATGTTCAGATTGATACTCTGATTAATTCGCATTTTTTGAACCATTGGATATAAATTCAGGTCTTAAGTGTTTGATTAAAGTTGGAATGAAAAGCTGCTTAAAGGGCCGGTGTGGGGCGTGAATACTTATTCTGGCTGTCTGCTGTTTATGTTCCTCCCTCTGCTTTGTTGGTTTTCCAGCTGATTATCGTCTCATTAGAGGTGAGAAAAGCTTTGAACTGATCTGGTTTTAATGACGGTGTGTCCTGCTGAGCTCTACCACGTCGGATCGGTTCACATGACGAGAAGCGACAGAAAAGAAGAAGAAGAGAAGCTGCAAATCACAACCAATCACTTTACAGACATTTCAGTAACATCATATAACAGCAGTGACAGTTCATGTTGCTGCAGCAGATCCAGTGTGTCCAGCAGGTCGGCTGCGTTGTTTTCCTGCAGCAGTGGCGAATGCTCGGCGCTCCTTCAGCGACCTGCAAGAGGAAAAACATCGGCTCGTCCCTCTGCAGGACGGCACGCCGCCGGACGCCCGGCGTTACACACAGCGCTGCCTCCCTGCCCTGCAGAACCAGGCGCTCTGCAGGCGCTGCTGGAATAGAACCAGCAACCCCACAGTTTCCTGTAGGCCTGAAAGCAGCAGCAGGTCTGAAGCATCTGACAGGAACTTGGTACAGATCCAGCGGTCTGGGGATCATCTCGTCACATAAACACACGTCCAGTCAGGACAGAAACGATTCTGAATTAAACAAAATAACTTTAAATAATAAAAACAAACTTTTACACACTCCTTTAGTTTTTCTACATGCTCTGCAAACATAAACTGAGATTTCAAACGGAGAAAATTAATGATTTTCAGCATTTTCCACTAACAAAAATCTGAAAAGTGTGGCATGCTTTTATATTTGTCCCTCGTGAGTCAGAATGTAGCAGGATGCTTCCTTTAGGGTTTATATCTGCAGACATTATGAGGTAAATTAATGAACCTGTGCAGGTGGAACATCCAGATAAATATTTTACATAGTGGCTCAAGAAATGCTGACATACAACCTGAAGTGTAAAGAGTGAACATATTGGTAGGCTTAATAAGCATTTTTATATTACACTTCTGTTTTTCTTAAACCTTAAGGTTTTGTTTTGTAATTTCTGCCACTAGGGGCAGTATTTTGATTTGCTTTTTCATCTGACAAATAGATCAGATGAAAACCAACCGTCTGTGATCGGCTTTAAGTTATGAATGCTAAAAAACTTTACGTGTGAAAGATAAATGAAATGAAAGCAGCTCACCTTCTGGACCAGATTAACTGGAGGTTAACAAAAGCTGCTTGTTCCATATTCAGGGAACGTAAATATGGAAATATGTCATTTTTCATGAGGGGAGGACCATTTGCTGAACGGATGAAGCAGTTTGTTCCATGAAAGATCAGGATGAGCTGATCATTCGAACGTCTACAGTCTGTTACGCGAAATTCACATTTTACACATTTTTTTAGTTCAAACTGCTTCTAAAAAACACCCAGCTGCGTTTTGGCAGTGAGTTCACGTTCTTTGGTTTCTGGAAAACGAGCCGTTTCAAAAACCTCCTGAGTCACACAGCCCGTTACCTAGCAACCCCAGGAGAGTTCAGCCCGTTACCTAGCAACCCAACCTGGGTTGCATTATGTTTGGTCAGCTAGTTTACCGCAACATTCACTATACAATGGCTGCTGGAAAAGCAGCAAGTTTTGTTGTTGACTTGCTGCTTTCTGGGTGGTTGTGCAGGAAGCTCCACTAATGCTTTTCAAAGATGTACAGTTGTAAAATTGCACATATTTGCAGCCATTTTTAGGTGAATGTAAACACTGAGTTGGGGGCGTGGCCAGCAGCAGCTGATTCTGTGCAAAAACTGTAACGAACATGTTTTGTTTAGGCCACAGATCGATGCTAACCTAGCAGCCCTAGGGTTAGGGTTAAAGAGCGTTTCAGATTATTCTGAAGTAAACTGAAAGCAGAGCCTGAAATCTGCACCAAGTTTCAATCAGCAATCCCCAAACCACGCTGACATCAATTGGCCCGACTGCAGGAAAGCGTGGGCTGCCCAGCAGCTGGCCAGAAACAGGAAGTCAAGTGACAGCGCCTGGTTCTGACAGGAAGTGGTGTGAGGAGGATGATCTGATTTTACCAGAGGGATCCAGAGGCGGCGGTTCCGGTTCATCCATCAGCGTGGTTTTCTCCTCCCCGGCCAGCGGCGAGCTCACGCCGCCGTCAAACATCCCGAAAACAGCCACAGAGTACTTGGTTCCCGCCCTGCAGGAGACAAACGACATCACTTCCTGTTCCCAGACAGAAAGGGGCGGAGCTCCAGGAAGACCTTCATCCCAATCAGAACCACTGTTTGGGTTCAGAACCAGCTGGGCCCACTTCTTCAGCATTCCAATCAGTTCCTGCACAGGATGATGCTGCCACCACCAAGCCTCACCATGAGGATGACCAGCAGCTTGACGTTCGTCTCATCTGACCGCCGACCGTTTCTCCAGATGAAACATCCATCAACTTTCAGGAAACATGTTTGTAGTCAAAGTAAAGAGGAGCAGCTGTAAGGCACGGCGGTGGCAGCATCATTACAAGTGGAACAATGAAACATGAACACAGAGAGATGATCCCAAAGCTCTGACCTCTGATGGACGAAGAGGAAGCAGGTCTCTTCATTTGAAATGTTTATTAAAAACTACATATTTATTAAACCGTCACATCATGACAGTTTGACCTGCTCTCTGAAGACCTGGGACAAAAACAACCAATCAGAGGCAGGAGGCGGGGCTTAGCGCTGTCAATCAAAGTTATGCTGTTGCTGCTAAATATGCTAACGGAGGAGAAACAGCTTACTGTTACAGAAAAACTATGGCTATGCTAACTAGCCTTAGCATTCATGCTAGCTGTAGACTAGCAGAGAGCAAAAAAGACAATCTTGTTTACATAGACTATAATTTATTTCATTTTTGCTTACTTTTTTTTCCAGTTCCAGTTAAATGTTTATTAGAGCTTAAAGTTTATTGATCTTTGAAAATAAAATTATGTCATTAATAATTACCACTGATTAATGGAAAATGGTCACAAAACAACAATATTATCGTTTATTGCAATAACTTGTTTATCGTGTAGCTGAATTTATTATTATAACAGGCCAAGATGTAAAATCATATTTGTTATGAAAGTTACATAGCGGGACACGTCAGAGCCTGTATGTATACTTATGAGCCTTTCTGACCAGAGAGAACCAAACACCTGCAGGTGAGCGTACCTGAGCTCCTCCAGAACCACTGTGTTGTCGTACGGACCGACCATGAGCTCCCCCAGGTCCACGTCGTTCCCAGAGGGGTGAAAGGTCACCCTGTAGCCCCGCACGTCACCCGGAGCCGGGTCCCAGGACACCCTGAAGCTGGTCTTAGTGGGTTCAGAGGTCAGCAGGTTCCTGGGGGCCTTGAAGGCCGGCACTGCAAGGGACAGAGGAGGACAGAGGAGGAGGCGTCAGGACCCACTGCTGGGTGGGAGGAGGAGGACATAAGAGGACAGAGGAGGACGGAGGAGGACAGCGCCCCCTTCTGGAGGCCAGTGTACAATAAACCTGCCAACTTGTTTGTAGAGAAAATCAGAGGATTTGTGTAATGGCCGCTAGTAGCGCTGAGGTTCTGGTTCTGCTCTGCACCAGAACCAGAACATGGAGAAGCTGCATTCAGCTTCTATTCACCACAGATATGGAATAAACTTCCAGAAAACAGAACCCAGCCGAAACCCTGAGCTCCTTTGAACCCCGACTGAACCAGCCGATCTGATTAACAGTAAATGAAACTTCGATCGGTAAGTTTGACAAAATGTAACGTTTGTTGTTTGTGTCATAATTTATGATGTTATTTGAAATATAATCTGGATTCTTGCTAAAATGTTTTTCTCTAATAAACTGGAGTTTACAGCAGCTGCGTTTCTATTAACCATAAAATTGCTAAATTCGAATTATGAAAATAAATTTAATTAATCGAAACAAAAATTTTTATAATGCAAAGAAAACAGGAACGTTGTTCATGATCTTCACCAGTTGGGGGCAGTAGTACTGCAAAACCTATTTGCCAACCGCCAATAAAAGAAAGAAGAAGACAACAGGAAGTAGTTTGATGATGGCGCGGCGTGATTTCTAATATTTATCACATTATTAAAAACCTAAAATATTTAGAAATGATTTTAATTTAGTTTCTTATTTACTAGAAACAAATTAGGAAATTGTGTTTTATTGACATTTATGGAAAACTGACAGAAATGTGTTCATATTGGTAACTGAAGCGCAGCTACTGTCTGTGTCTCTGTGGACATGTCTCTGTGTCTCTGTGGACGAGTCTCTGTGGACGTGTCTCTGTGTCTCTGTGGACGAGTCTCTGTGTCTCGGTGGACGTGTCTCTGTGGACATGTCTCTGTGTCTCTGTGGACGAGTCTCTGTGTCTCGGTGGA